ATTAAAGGCATCCAAATCGGCAAAGAAGAAGTCAAACTATCACTCTTCGCAGATGATATGATACTTTATGTGGAAAACCCAAAAGACTCCATGCCAAAACTGCTAGAACTCATACAGGAACTCAATAAAGTGTCAGGATATAAAATCAATGCACACAAATCAGTTGCATTTCTATATACCAACAACAGGACAGAAGAAAGAGAAATTACGGAGTCAATCCCATTTACAATTGCGCCCAAAACCATAAGATAACTAGGAATAAACCTAACTAAAGAGGCAAAGAATCTGTACTCAGAAAAATATAAAGTACTCATGAAAGAAATTGAGGAAGACACAAAGAAATGGAAAAATGTTCCATGCTCATGGATTGGAAGAATAAATATTATGAAAATGTCTATGCTACCTAAAGCAATCTACATGTTTAAAGCAATCCTATCAAAATACCATCCATTTTTTTTTTTCAAAGAAATGGAACAAATAATCCTAAAGTTTATATGGAACCAGAAAATACCTTGAATAGCCAGAGGAATGTTGAAAAAGAAAGCCAAAGTTGGTGGCATCACAATTCCAGACTTCAAGCTCTATTACAAAGCTGTCATCATCAAGACAGTATGGTACTGGCACAAAAATAGACACATAGATCAATGGAACAGAATAGAGAGCCCAGAAATAGACCCTCAACTCTATGGGCAACTAATCTTTGACAAAGCAGGAAAGAATGTCCAATGGAAAAAAGATAGTCTCTTCAACAAATGGTGTTGGGAAAATTGGACAGCCACATGCAGAAAAATGAAACTGGACCATTTCCTTACACCACACACAAAAACAGACTCCAAATGGATGAAAGGCCTCAACGCGAGAAAGGAATCCATCAAAATGCTTGAGGAGAACATAGGCAGCAACCTCTTCGACCTCAGCTGTAGCAACTTCTTCCTAGAAACATCGCCAAAGGCAAGGGAAGCAAGGGCAAAAATGAACTATTGGGACTTCACCAAGATCAAAAGCTTTTGCACAGCAAAGGAAACAGTCAACAAAACCAAAAGACAATTGACAGAATGGGAGAAGATATTTGCAAAGACATATCAGATAAAGGGCTAGTATCCAAAAGCTATAAAGAACTTATCAGACTCAACACCCAAGAGCAAATAATCCAATCAAGAAATGGGCAGAGGACATGAACAGACATTTCTGCAAAGAAGACATCTGGATGGCCAACAGACACATGAAAAAGTGCTCCATATCACTCGACATCAGGGAAATACAAATCAAAACCACAATGAGATACCACCTCACACCAGTCAGAATGGCTAAAATTAACAAGTCAGGAAATGACAGATGCTGATGAGGATGCGGAGAAAGGGGAACCCTCCTACACTGTTGGTGGGAATGCAAGCTGGTGCAATCACTCTGAAAAACAGCATGGTGGTTCCTCAAAAAGTTGAAAATAGAACTACCCTACGACCCAGCAATCGCACTACTGGGTATTTACCCTGAGGATACAAATGTAGTGATCCAAAGGAGCATGTGCATCTGAATGTTTATAGCAGCAATGTCCACAATAGCCAAACTATGGAAAGAACCTAAATGTCTATCAACAGATGATTGGATAAAGAAGATGTGGTATATATATATACAATGGAATACTATGCAGCCATTAAAAGAAATGAAATCTTGCCATTTGCAATGACATGGTTGGAACTAGAAGGTATTATGCTGAGCTAAATAAGTTAATCAGAGAAAGACAATTATATGATCTCCCTGATATGAGGAAGTTGAGAGGCAAGTAGGGGGTTTGGGGGGTAGGAAAGGAAAAAAATCAAACAAGATGGGATGGAGAGACAAACCATAAGAAACTCTTAATCTCACAAAACAAACTGAGGGTTGTCAGGGGGAGGGGGGAGGGAGAGGGTAGTGGGGTTATGGACATTGGGAAGGTACATGCTATGGTGAGTGCTGTGAAGTGTGCAAACCTGGCGATTCACAGACCTGTACCCCTGGGGCTAATAAGACATTATATGTTGGGGTGCCTGGGTGGCTCAGTTGGTTAAAGCCTCTGCCTTCAGCTCAGGTCATGATCCCAGGGTCCTGGGATTGAGCCCCGCATCAGGCTCTCTGCTCAGTGGGGAGCCTGCTTCCTCCTCTATCTCTCTGCCTGCCTCTCTGCCTAGTTGTGATCTCTGTCAAATAAATAAATAAAATCTTTAAAAACAAAAGACATTATATGTTAATAAAAAATAAAAAATTTTAACAAATGATGATACAACAAAATGGTTGTTAATTGATACTGATTAACCATATTCAGTAAAATGGTCTTAAGTGTGTATATATATATATATATATATATATATATATATATATATATATAGGTTATACAAGGGACCTTAGAAATGACTTCATATATGCCAAATTGAATCTAAAAAAGCAAATATCTTACTAGGATAAATATTCATTAAACATATAGTTAATAAAGTTTATACAGGCCCTTGGGTGATGTAATGTGCCAAATTGTGTCCCTATATGATATTGTGATTTTGGTCATCTGAATTTCTCATATATAATTTGGTTTTTGTCCACAGTTCCTTGCTTATAGCTTCCAAAACCCTTATAATTTCCTAAGCATGGAGAGTGATAAAAAGTGTCTTTTTTTATGTTAATATGGATTTGCGGAAGGTGCCCCAGTTGGAGGCTGGTGCCAATGGAGCCAAGTGATTACTGTGATTACAGGGTTGGAACTTGTAATCCTCCTCTGGAGAGGGGAGGGGCCTACAGTCTGATTTAATCACCAAAGGTTAACAATTTAATCAATCTAGTCTAGGTAATGAAGCCTCCATAAAAACCCAAAAGGGCATAGTTCAGAGTTCTTGGTTGGTGAACACATGATCTGGGGAGTGGCATGCCTGGGGAGGGCATGGAACCTCAGCCTTTTCCCTATGCTTGCCCAGTGCATATTTTCTATCTGGATGTTCCTGAATTCCTTTTGTAACAAATCAGTAGTCTAGCAAGTAAACAGATTTTCTGAGTTCTGTGAGCCATTCTAGCACATTAACCAAACCTAAGGAAGGGATCTGGGGAACCTCTGATTTATAGCCTGTCAGTCAGAAATACAGGTAATAACCTCGGCTTGCGATTGGCATCACTGGCTTGGCACATGGAGGGAGGAACCAGATTCTATGGCCAGGTAGTGTCAGAATTGAATTGAATCGTAGGACACCTTGCCATTGTCCGGAAAATTGCTTGTTGTTGGAGGGAAACACCCCCTCCCCCAGCATACTGGGATTAGTATCAGAGCCCCAAATTCCAATGTGGGAACCCTAAACCCCAAGACCTCAGAATGTGACTATTATTTGGAGATAAGGCCTTTAAAGGATTGAGTAAATTAAAATGAGGCCATTGGGGTGAACTCTAGTCTGTCTACTAGAGGAAATTTGGACCCACAGAGACACCAGAGCTGGGGGTGCAGAGAAAATGTCACGTGAGGACACGGCAAGAAGGCAAGCCAAGAGATTTGCCAAACCTCCCAACACTTTGATCTTGGACTTCTAACCTCCACACTGTGTGAAAATAAATTCCTCTTTAAGTCAGGAGTCTGTTATTTTGTTATAGCATACCTAAGAAACTTAACAGGTGGCCTAAATATCATGGCTTAAGGAACTGTAACAGAACCCACAAATGTTTGCTATTGTTGGTTCCCACACACCTTCCATGCCTGCCATCCTTGAATTGGAGCTTCAGCAGCATCAAAGCCATCTTACAGAACAGAGTCCAAACTTTTCTATTTCTTGGCATTTTAAAACGGTGTAATGTTACTTCTGTTACAGAAACAGAATGTTAACATGAAAAAAAAATACCAGGAACAGGAAATAGTACAATGAACTTCCATATACCCTACACTCAGATTCAGTATTTGCCCTATATTTGCTTTAGCTCTCTTTCCACCTCCTTTTCCTTAGCTGTGTGTGTGTGTGTTTGTGTGTATTTTTTAGGCAACCAGTATTTTCCTATACCACATAACACACACGTTATGACTGTAATTTATGTATACTGGCATGCCGTTGAATTCACATTAATAAAAAGTAAAGAAATTGAATCGTGAGATAATTTATACTTTGAGTTCCAGACGACGCTACTCATTTCATCCCTTGTTTTATTCAAGGTACCAATCTAAAAATGTAATTTTGTTTCCAGGAAAACTGCTGAAGTTGGAAGACAAATGTTTTTCTACAGATGTCATTTCATTTAAATGAAAAAAAAAAAAAGGAAAGGAAAAAAAGTTGGAAAAATTGAATTCTCAGTTCATTGCAAGGATGGAGATTAACAAAAACTATATAGAATCTCAGGAAATACACATTATTTCAAAAACTGTATACATGTGGATCTTTAAAAAAGATCAAAAACCTACCCAAAAAATGTTAATTGATATGATCTCTTGGTAGGCTAGTTTTATTTTCTCCTTTGTAACATACTGTATTTGCTAAACACTCCCCTATGAATGTTGTACTACTTTTGCAATCTGAAAAAAAAAGTAAAACGTACACTAAAATAAATCAAGCTGTGGCTATATAAACATATTCTTTAAACATGGAGGTTAACCATCAGAAGTTAAAAGTGGTTAAGAGTGATTACTTCTGGAAAATGTAGTAAGAGAGAAGGTGAAGGCAAGAGACTGTGCTTTCCATTCTAAAACCTTTCAGACAATCCAATGTGTTATTCTAAAGATTAGACATTATGGTAAGCTTTTCACTTATTAAAAAAAAAAAAAAAGCTAGCGGGAAGACTAATGGAAAAAAATACAAAAAGCAACTCCATTTTATTTCTTCTAAGAATGTGTAGGCCTTTGTGAAACCTACTAGTTATGATTACTAGCTTAGCTGTATGTAGTACATCATGTTCATTCACACTCCAGAATTCTAAGTACGTGCGTATAAAATGCAACTGGATTTATAGAAGTAATTTCTTACCTACACTGAAGGCATATTTCAATTAAAAAAAAACATACAGAGTACAAACAAAAGTGAGTTTATTTACAAAAATCACAATAATTACAGATAGTACAAATTGAGAAAATCTCCCGTTGTGACAAAAGCTACCAGCTTTCACTTTCAAATGAGGGTTTTGTTATTTCAAGATAAGATACACAGTCAGTGATTCACTGCCCTTATTTAGAATGCTTTTCTAAATAATTCCTGGGGCTGATTAGTGGTATGTACATGGGTCATTTCCCTCAACTTTTATTTCCAGAACTACTATGTTCAAGTCCAACATAACTGGAATATAACGGGGTAGAGTGGCACTACTTTTTTTTCCCAACAGTAAATTTTGATTTAAATTCTTTAAATATTTACTTAGTGGTTTAGAACTGAAACTATGATTTTTGGCTTTAAAGTCCAGTGATTTTTATGGGTTGTACAATTCCACTATAGCCAGTATGACCTAGCTATTTATTACGGGCTTGCAACTGTTTAAGAAACAGAATTCCATAGTAATCTATTCTGTTCTGTTTGTTTTCTAGAAAGGGAGAGAGGTGGGAGGAGGGGCAGAGGGAGAGAGAATCTTAAGCAGACTCCATGCCCAGCACAAAACCTGAAGCAGGTCTGATCTCAAAACCCTGAAATAGTGACCTGAGCCAAAATCAAGAGTCCAACGCTGAACCAAGTCACCCAAGTGCCCCCACAGTATTCAATTCTGTATGAATTTTGTCTTTTGTGTGTTTAATCAGAGTCACTACTGCTGCTAGAGGAGTCTGTTGACATAACTTCTACATCATCTTCATTTTCTTTATTATGCCCCGGAGGTTCCAACAAAAAGTCATTACTGTGATTTGGTGGTAACATATTCATTGACATGTCATTTGACTGCCATGGATATTGTGGAGCAAGGACATCTGAAGAAAAGAAAGAAGAATATGTAATAATACTTCTACCAATAATTAATTTACTTCTTAATTACTTTTCCCCTCATGCACAGAATCTGAAGTAAATATTTTTTTAAGGCCAGGAATCAAAATGTACATTTGGCTAAATTAACGAAGATCAAAGTTATCATGGAAAAGCCTATTTTAATAACCAAACCTGCATTTTATTTTTTTAAAAATCATGCTTACATCTAAGTAACTTTATATATATATATTTTTTTTATCTAAGTAACTTTAGAGTCAGTTGACCTAATTTTTCTTTTGTAAGACATTCACAATGACAAATCAAATGTTTCTTTTATATATATTAAGTCGTATATATTATTCTATATATTTTAAATAGCTAACATGTACTACACTATTACAAGTTAAACTACTTCTTAAGCTTTAAATCCACTCTTCTCCCCGACCCTGAAAACATTTCTCCTCTGCCCGAAGCCACAATGTTAATCTTTGTCAGTAGAGGGCACTGGAGGGACTCTGCAAGGGGAATAGGACTAAGGCATCGGATGTTTCCCTTCTCACTCCTGTGGTAGCTTGCTCGCCCTCTAGCAAGTTTCAGTAGTGTCTAAGTCTCACCATCACCCTAAAGGTGACTTCCCTGCAAGGATCCCTGGAACCCTAGTGGATAATTTCCTGCTTGCTGGCTCCAGCCTGTGAATACCTCATCTAACTTCTCTGCCATCCTGTGGGCCACAGCTACATCCTCTCAAAGGTGCCACAATATGAACAGCAGCCTGAGGATGGGGGTGGGAGAAACCTCTTCTCAGGGGGTCCTTTCTTTGGGTCATCTGCCTGGTCCTAAATGTAGTAGCTGCTCCCCACATCTGTTATTACTGTATTTTTAAAAAGCAGTTCTCTTTACCCTTTAGTAGTGAGTATCCTATTACTAATTAGTAATTCTTTAAATTTTCCTTGTTCATACTGCTGATGTGGTTTCTGCCTATTGACTAGACTATGACTGGCATATAATACAGAATAATAAAAATGAGAAAAATGCAGATATCTAGGGGAACTAACACACAGTGAGTTCTCAGTTTGTACTTTAGATAGTTAAAAATGATGTTTACAAAGCATTCTTAACAACATAGGAACATCCTTACAATAAAATGTGAAGCAGAAAAGCGATATCCAGAGCATGTTTTTAACACTGCAAAAAGTACAAGAAAAAATGAAATAGATGTAATATTAAAAGTGATTGCTCAAACAAAACCCCAGTTTTTTGTTTTTTTATAATCTTCTAAATACTTTTTAAATGTTCTACCAAGCAAGTCACCTACAAAAGATAAAAGATGGGGAACATAAAATAAATATAAAAATAACACAAAACTATATGCAGAACTTGAGGAAGGCCAAAATTCAGAATGAACCAAGTCTCTCAGAAGTGCTATTTTATTTAGTTACTGAAAAGCCCATAAAAAGCTATTATTCATTTTGTTAATTTGGGAGTTTTCCAGGAGTGGGTTCACTTTGTATTCTTTAAAACGAACATATGTATTTCTTATTTTGTTTGTCCAGTATATTTCACAATTTTATTTAAAAAGCTGTTTAGGGAGCCTGGGTGGCTCAGTGGGTTAAGCTGCTGCCTTCGGCTCAGGTCATGATCTCAGGGTCCTGGGATCGAGTCCCGCATCGGGCTCTCTGCTCAGCAGGGAGCCTGCTTCTCTCTCTCTCTCTCTCTCTGCCTGCCTCTCTGTCTACTTGTGATCTCTCTCTGTCAAATAAGTAAATAAATAAATAAAATCTTTAAAAAAAAATAAAATAAAAATAAAAAAATAAAAAAATAAAAAGCTGTTTAAATTTTAATAATAAAAGAGAGGACTAATGCCCGAGGAAAATAACCTATTAACAAATAAGAGAAAAGTCAATTTATTCTAATTTCATGAACTCCAGCTAGAATAGTTTTTACACTAGAGAGCGGGATAAATGGCAGAAAACCTGGCTATTAAAACGAGCTGGGTCTAGAACCTCAAACGTCTTCAACAGCCAGATATTCCTTCATCATGTCTGCAGAACCTTGGTCTGTTTGAAAGCACTGTTCTGATTAACATTACCTGGCAATCTGCCTGCTGCAAGTGCATCCCCTGGTAAATGACCATTTACACCATTAGTGGAAGGATTGTTCATTTGACCCAATAATCCACTTCTCATCTCCAAATCAGTTGGGTATGGCCTCCGTGGGTCCCCTAAAAAAGACTGCTTTTAATTTAATCTTATGCAAAATAAGCATTAATACCATCTCTGAAGTACTTATTTTCCTTGACTCACTCTGAAAAACTCAAAATACCCATTTTCAATAAGGTCATATTATCAACTGCTATTAAGAGCATAATATATTAAATTTAAAAATACATGCATTTTGTCTTTGAATCTGTACAGTTAATATATTATTCTCTATGCAAAAAAAAAGAGAAAAGTCTGTCATTTTAGCAATTCCAAATGACAAACTAAGAAAATTATAATAATCTTGATTCTTCTAACTTACCTACATTTCCAAGAAGAAAATAACAAATGATACATACACTGAGAGAATAAACAGATCATGATACATTTTTTTTTTTAAACAAGACAGGACTGGAATACTTATTTGAAGGACTGTGTAAATTAAAACTTTTCCTAACCAACCTCTTTGATCTTGTCATTTAAAAACTAATTCCTAGAAATTTCCAGAGGAGGAGTATCAGGAGCCAATGTTCACTTCTAATCATGGGAGCATACCATTTTGTTTTGGGATGATGAAAACTTGGCAGATTTGGACCAACTTTTTGGTAATATTTCTTACTCACTCCAGATCACTTACCCCCAAAACTGTAAGTTAACCATAGTGTTTTTAGTATAGTAAAATACCACCATCATGAATTACTGATGTTGAGATACTATTTCCCACTCCTCCCAGAAGACTGCTGTTCCACCTTAGGTCCCTGTCTTATAAATGTCTTATGTACTATCAATATATATTGCAGTTTTTTACTCTTTTTTACCCTTTCTAATTACTCCAGCTTTATCCAGTCCCATGTGTTTGCTGTTGGGTGCTCAGTGCTTCACCTTTATCACTGTACAGTTGGGACTGTCTTGATTCCAAGGCCAGAACACTTGATGAAATTCCAATGGTTCTAAAAAGTGGGCTTTCTGGCCAGCCTGGGTGTTACTGTCATATAAATCTATAGCTTTAGAATCATCACGTATCATTTGTACTTAAAACATTAATTTATGATTTTTCTTTAAAAAGGACAGAAACAGAGGCCCCTGGGTGACTCGGTTGGTTAAGCAACTGCCTTCAACTCAAGTCATGATCTCAGGGTCCTGGGACTGAGTCCCACACGTGGCTGGCTTCTCCCTCTCCTCTCCACTTGTGCTCTCTCACTGTCTCTCTCGCTCACTCTAATAAATAATACCATAAAAAAAAAAAGACACACAGTCCCTGTAGCTAAAGTTTTGTAGAAAACCAAACTAATAAAACCCATGACCCATATTATTTCTTCTAAGATATTAAAGATATGAAAATATATAGCAGATGTTTCTAAGGATAAATACATTCTATGTTTAAATCATTCTATGTTTAAAATTACAGTCACCTAAAAATTTTTAAAACCAATATGCCTAATAAAAAGAGAAGTATTTTACCTGGAACCCAGGTCAGTGGGGCACATACAGCATTACTTGCACTAATCCTATGTGCATACTTAATTATTTCTTCAGAGGAGATGGCACCTGAGAGAGTCAAGAGGAGAGAGTAATGTTAGTCCAGTAACTTAAAACTATATAAACGCATGTCTCATAGTCACACATCATACTTAATTTTAAATTATCTGAAAACAGGATAATCTGAGTTGCCCACCTTCCCCAATAATACCTAATAATATGTATATTGTTAAACTTAACATAAGATTTCGCAACTAAAGAACAAGACATCTAGAAAAAAACAGCTAACAAAGTATCAAATTTGGGACATTAGCAGGACTAAATTCACTAATCTCAATTATTAACTACCATTAAATATTCTTACTGTTCTCAAAGCAACAATGAGCACAAATAAAAGAGGAAAGAGTGTTTTGTCTTCCAGTGACATCTAAGCTATTAAGTTAGAGCAGCAGTTCACACTATACCGCTCAATCATTGGCTTGATGTGACTCTACGATTTTAAGTAGGCCTACGTAGAAACATGTCCACAATATATTCATTAGATTAAAAAAAGTAAGCTGCTAAATAATATGTGTAGCATGACCCGGTTTTTGTTTTTGAATATGTACATATATGTATTTGTACTGTTATATTTGTATTAAACATCCAAAAAAATAGACACACACAAACATGACCAGTAGTTATCTGAAACAGGAAAAGGAGAGTTAGACAATTTTGAGATGACTAAAGGCAAATCATCTACAAACCATTAAAAACAAGTAACCAAAATTTTCACTCTAACTTTTAGTACCTAAACTCAAAAATCCAAAATGGAAATCTTTTAAAGAGAGGAGGAGGACAGGAAAAGGCAGGCTGGGCGTCTGCACCATTACATGTGCACATGTCCCAAAGCACATCTAGTTCTGACTTCAGGACACTCTAGTCCCACCCCAGCTGCCCACTGCACATTCTCTTTCACTTTCTGTCCTGTCTTTTAAGATCCAACTCACATCCCACTTGCTTCCAGCTCACAGTTCTCTTCCCTTCTCCCAACAACTTTATAAACTCATTGTCTTTACTGCACATATGGATACACAGCCATAACTTGCCTTATATTATTGCTTCCTAGAGCCTGAAAAAGTTTGAAAACTTCCCAATAATACATAGCACAGTGCTAGCATCTAGCAGACACTTTATAATAAAAATTTATTGGAATCATTTCAATAGCAGCAAATGATTACCAATAATACTCTCAGCCATTTCTTGAAACCAAAACTTGGACTTTTCAGAAAGTCATTCAATATTCCCAGAGTTCTTACCTTTTCTTGCTTTTTCTATTGATTTGAGTTTTTCTTTTGCTTGGTAAACAGCTGTTGCCTAATTTGAATATTAAAAAAAGAAATATGGTTTACTCTTAACTGTATCAAGCAGAATTTTTGCCTTAATTCACAAAATCATGAATCCCACAGGAACAAAATGCAAAAGATGGAGATCCCCACAATTTATTTGCAATGTTCTGACACTGTTTGGGAATCATTTGTATGAGTTGGTTAATGAAGTAATAATGTATATTCATGAATCACTCTTCATCTACAAACTGTTAGAAACAATGTGTAGATTGGACTGTTTACTTTTTGGGGGGGGCTGTAACCAATTTTAATTAGCACCCCGCTGCTCTTTTTTTTTTTTTTTTTTTTAAGATTTTATTTATTTTTGAGAGAGAGAGAGCCCACGAGTGGGGCGAGGAGCAGAGAGAAAAGTGGACTTCCCGCTGAACAGGGAGCTTGATACGGGATTTGATCCCAGAACCCTGGGACCATGACCTGAGCTGAAAGACAGTCGCTTAACTGACTGAGTCACCCAGGAGCCCCTAACATTTTTTTTCTTTATGCCTTCTATCAGACATGTATAAGAGATCCACATTATATACCAGTCCCAAAGCATCCTATTCTCACATTTAGTTCAAGGATAAAAACACCAAAATATTATTTTCTCATTTACAAGACACATTCTTGGATTGATAGTCTTACTCATTTAGACATTACCATTACCTCTATGCTTAATGACTGTTATAATGAAAACACCCACAAGCCACCCCCCCAGTTACATTAAAGGGTAAAATGAAGTTACATATACATCCTCAACTATAACACAGTGGTTAAGAGTATGGAGTCAGAGAAATAGGTTTAAGTTCCATCTCTCTACTTTTCACTCTAACTGGGCAAGGTAACTATTAATTTAAAACCTCAGTTTCTTCATCTGTAAAATGGAATAATGGTACTAACCTAGCATGATTACTAAGGAGATTGAGAAAATCCATGTAACCTGCAAACAAGCACAAGGCCTGATGCACAAGTGATCAATAAATGTTAGTTGTTATTACCTAAATCATAAAATTCAGTCTTTTTACAGTTCTTGTGTTAACTATCTTTAACTCGTTAACAACATTTTTGGAAATCAAATCTAAAGAATAAAATCTGAAATGCAGAAGAAAAAGACGACTTTTTGCAATGATATTCTTCAAAGCCTTATTTATAACAGAAAGTTGGAAAGCTAAACAAAGAGGATACAACATAAGAAAAATGCTTAAGTTTTAAAAATAAAGGGCACCTGCATGGCTCAGTGGGTTAAGCCTCTGCCTTCCTAGGATCAAGCCCCGCATCAGGCTTTCTGCTTGGTGGGGAGCCTGCTTCCCCCTCTCTCTCTGCCTGCTCTGCCTACTTGTGATCTTTCTCTCTCTGTCAAATAAATAAATAGAATCTTTAAAAAATACTTTATTAAAAAAATTTAAAAAATAGTAATAGAAATCCACTTAATATCCTACTAATTATGAGATTAAAAAAATGAAAACGTCTGGGAAAAAAATCACTATGTTGTAACCTGAAACTATGTAATATTGTGTGTCAACCAGACTTCAATTTAAAAATCAATTATAAGCCTACTGGAAAATTAAAAAAAAAAAGTCTGAGGCTGAAATAAAATGCACAAAAGACTAATGGCAATCTGAATAGAGGGACTAACACAATTTTTTCCTCTTCCTTCTACCTCTCTTTATTTTCTGAAATCTTTTAGTAAGTATTACTTTCCTAATGGAAAATAGATTTCATTACATATTTTTTAAAAAAGCATTTACTTGGGGTCATTTCTTCAGCAGGAGTGGTTAATTTACCCTGAACCACTCAGGTTTCTATTTACTGGAGTCTGTTTTGACACATTTTGAAGATTGATCAGGGATAAAGATTCCCACAATGTCTGGTCCATATCTGGTCCAGAATCAAACTCAGCTGTTTCTGCAATACCACCATATAACAATTACATTGGTTAGTACTTAGTGAAATAACTGGGCAAATAATAGCAAAGAAATTGTTTTCAAACAATAGCCAAGAAGAAAAACAAAAAACCAGATCCCACTTAGAGTGGCAGACTAAATTAATATAAATTTTAATCCATTTATAAAATGATACATATTTATACAGATTTAAAAATATTTTTAAAACTGAAGATTTAGACTACTAATAACTGAAAACTTCTAATAGGACAGGATAAAAGTAAACTTCCCAGTTCTATTAATTCAATCCTGTGAAATCTTTAAATAATGAAAATATGGTTCAAAAACAATGCAGACATCTGAAAATATTAAGTAAAATAGGGAATGACAATGGCCTTTCATTTAACCAAAGTGACAAGGTGTCACTTTTAGACTTAGAAAGTCAAGTTTTCTGCCACTTCAAAATACTTGAAGATTTTTTTTTCAGAAATAGATTAATATCCTTTTTTACCTTATCTTCTATCAACTTACCAGTATTTGTTCTGCTTCCTTGAGCTGTTTCTGTAGTTGCTGAATATCACTGTCTCTCTTCTCCACTTCCTTTTCTAAAACTTGCATTTCATGATGGATTTTTCCCTGATTGAGTGCCAATTTCATCAGTTCTTGAAATTCCCCATCTCTGTGAATTAACAACTCCAGGACCTGTCAGATAACAGCTGATTAAGGCAGACAGCAGAATACTGAAAAGTGACATTCCAATGAAGCAAAAAACTCATATATGAATTGGTTAGGCTATAAAATTTTAACACCCTCAAAGTATCATCCAATCAATGTTAAGAATAAAAATAACCTACTTATGATTATTTTGGAAAACAGATTAATATCAAGACTTTCTACTTTTTCTAATTATATGCTATTCTTTCATAAAAAACAAGTCTTCAGAAGTACCAATATGCCAAAATGAGGTTTATTCACTTCCCAGGTTAAGAAAAAATTTTAAAGTTTATCCTTAAAAATATAACATAATGGAGGTTCCCCCAAAATCTGGTACTTGAGATGATTTTAATTGACATGAAGAACTTTAAAAAAATTTCTACAAACTAAACAGTCTGATTAAAAATGGGCAAAGAGGGGCGCCTGGGTGGCTCAGTGGGTTAAGCCGCTGCCTTCGGCTCAGGTCATGATCCCAGGTCCTGGGTTCGAGCCCCACATCGGGCTTTCTGCTCAGCAGGGAGCCTGCTTCCTCCTCTCTCTCTGCCTGCTTCTCTGCCTACTTGTGATTTCTCTCTGTCAAATAAATAAATAAAATCTTAAAAAAAAAAATGGGCAAAGAAACTGAATCGACATTTTCCCAAAGACATACAAATGACCAAAAGTACATGATAAAGTGCTGAACATCACTAATCATCAGGGAAATGCAAATCAAAACCACAACTGGATATCACCTCACACCAGTTACAAAGGCTGTAATCAAAAAACAAGAGAGAAGAGTTGGTGTTGTGAAAGATATGGAGAAAAGAGAACCCCTGTGCACCAATGGTGGGGATGTTAACTGGTGCAACCACTATGGAAAACAGTATGGACATTACTTAAAAAGTTAAAAATAGAACTACCATATGATCTGGCAATTCCACTTCTGGGCACTTATCTGAAGAAAATGAAATTATTATCTCAAAAAGTTATGGGCACCTTCATGTTCATTGCAGCATTATTTACAATAGCCAGAACATGAAAGCAAACTAACCATCTATCAATATATGAATGGAGGGGCGCCTGGGTGGCTCAGTGGGTTAAGAGCATTTCCAAAAATAGTAAATAAATTTTCAAATGGGCACATCCCATTAATATTTAATAGTTTCAATGAAAACTAAACAGGAATTTATGGTACTAAATATGAGGTTTAATTTTGTCCTGGGGTGGTGGTGATAATAACCATTCATTAATAAGCTCTTCCTATCTGTACTTAACACGCAGTAACATAAATCCTCATAACAACATTATGTGACAAGGTACTGTTGTTTTTTAAGAACAGAACTGCTAGTCCTTACAAAGTATAAGAAAGGTTAGTGCTGATTGGGCAGGTCTTAGTTATGAACTACTGAATAATCAGTATGCCTACAAAGCATATAATAAATGCCTAGAAAATAAAGTCAAAATTTGTATTCATTTTGCTCATTTTGTAACAAATTCTTTTTTGTTTTTTAAGATTTTATTTATTTATTTGACAGGCAGAGATCACAAGTAGGCAGAGAGGCAGGCAGAGAGAGGAGGAAGCAGGCCCCCTGCTGAGCAGAGAGCCCGATGCGGGGCTCGATCCCAGGACCCTGGGATCATGACCTGAGCCAAAGGCAGAGGCTTTAACCTACTGAGCCACCCAGGCGCCCCTCATTTTGTAATAAATTCTTATTTAATTTCACAGGTATTTATCAATAAAGTATCTGAGACTAGCATTCCCCTATTAACATATTTCTCTATAAGCTTCTTCTAAAAACAAAATAAGCAACATACATAAAACAACTTTTATATCCCTAAAATTACCAACTTTTACTACTTATAGCCTTATCTAATTCCCTCTCTCCACCTGAGGGGATTAATCTTTGAAGAAAACAAGTTTTGAAGATTATTTATTTGTCAGAGAGAGAGAGAGAGCACAAGCAGGAGGAAGCAGACAGAGGGAGAAGGTGGCTCCCTGGTGAGCAAGGAGCCCGACATGGGACTCAATCCCAGGACTGAGGGATCATGACCTGAGCTGAAGGCAGATGCTCAACTGACTGAGACACCCAGGTGTCCCTGAAGAAATTTATTTACTCTTCTCCTACCCCCTTAACCCCTCATGTTGCATCTCCTCTCCCTCATATCAGGGAGATCATATGATAGTTGTCTTTCTCTCCCTGAAGAAAACAAGTTTTATGATACTTCTCTATTGACAGTCAATCAAATTCCTCTGCCCTCAAAAAATATCATAAGATAAAACTAAGATAATGATGGGGCACAGAGCTGTCTCGTATCATTAAAAAGGTTAATCCTTCCCAGATGTTTTCTTTTTAAGTTGTTCAAAATTATGGTAAAAAACACATAAAATGACATTTACCCTCTTTAACAAGTTTTTGGATCAGAAAATAAAATCTGCTCACTGCAGAAAATTACAAAACACAGAAAGGAATAAAGAAAATAAAAACTTGTAAACTTAACATCCACAAAATAATTTCTATTAACAATTGCATGCTTTTTTAATATTTTATTTTTTATAAGCATATA